AATGACTAATCGACTGACCCACCCTCCCCCTTCCTTTAACCCAACCAATAGTGTTATAAAAAGCACATATTGACTCGCCCACCCACTTTCCGAAACCCAACTGACAAATTTAAAAAGCAATTCAGAAAAACATCTGATTTTTATCACATTCTCACCTGTTATTTACTTGTGTTTTTTTTTTTTTTTTGGATTCTGTTTTTGTCTTGCCTGCTTTCTGGAATCATTTTTCACCTGACTCGAACCATGTTATTGTGATCATCTCCTCTCTGCGTTTCAAGTCCACCAACGTACATGGCGAGCTAACTGAACAAATTGGTAACAGCAGGAAAGTGGTCCATACGGAGGTAAGCGGTCAGCTGATAATTGTGAAAAGAAACGGTCATACCGACCGGTAGTGTTCATTTAAAAAATTAAATGCAGCCATAGGTACTTCTGGCTACATAATTCACAATCTCCAGAAATGTATATAGGGCTACATTTTCAGAATGAGCCTATGTTGGCAATGCGACTATTGCAGATCACATATATCGATGCATGCAATATCAATCAAAACCCACAAATAAATAAATAAGTGAACGAACGAATAAATAAATAAATAAATAAAACAGAAAAAAATAAGTTACAAACTATTTCCATTACTCATTTCTTTCTCTTCTGTACATTCACACATTTATGATACAGACAAACTTGCTCGAATACAGACAGAAACCATGTGCCAGCACTAGTGTTTCAATTGAAAAGCTACATGACACTTCTCTGTAACAAGGTTGTAATTGTGCTGTTCCTGAAGAAGATCTTTTGCAAGTAGTCTTGTTTGAACTTGTTAGCAAACATGGTTAAAAAGGATTTGCATGGCTTTTTTTTTCTTTGTTGGAAGCTTTTCTTTTAATGAGCTAATAAAATAATTAGTTTCAAATCAATACATGTATGTAATTATTTACTTGTGGGGAAAATAGCCCTAATACGCGGGATAACCAGGTTTTCACTTTTTCTGTTAACTTTACATTAACCTGAAAGAAGTTTCTAAAAATAGTTGGATGGATGGACGAATGGATATATTTGATTCTAAGCAACCACAAACGGTACAATAAAAAGCATTCCAGAGAGGCAAAAAAAAAAAAAAACAGCTAACAAAATTATACAGCAACCCATCCTTATTCATAGCCTTGCTTTCTGAAATTGTTTGATGTCCTGCTCTTTTCTCAATGCTACCCCATCATTTAGGCAATTTCATCCCAGCCCACTCAAGCAGCATAGCAGACGGCTATTACATTTTGTGTCACATTCTCACATTCTGCGGCCCCCCAGCCCTATTTGTTTTACAGGGCCACTGAGCGATAAATGACATTTGTCAGATTTTGCCAAGAGCGTCATCAACAAACTTCCAATTTTACACCATGCATCACCATGGCAATAACATGTAGCTTTTGTTTTCTGAACTTATGTATATTTATTTACTCTCAACCAAACGGATTTACTGCCACCAGGTTCAGATATTCAGCAAGTAAACATGGTAGAAACCGATAATGTTGCTGAGATAGAAAACAAAAGTGTCTCAGCTAAGGAGAGTAAAGGGGGCTCCGAGTGTTCAGGCTCTTAGCTTCTCTCCTGCATAAAGCTTAATGATCTGGAGGTAATGCAAAGTCAACTCAGATCAGAGGACGAGAGCGTGCCAAATAAGTGTGAATAAACTAGCTGTGAAAAGCGGTGGTTTCTTCAATTTGCAGCATTGAGTTTATGTTGTCCCAACCTATCTTAATTCAAAATGGCAGTTTTTAGTTATGGAATATTGCCCTTATTATTATAAGTGATATCTTTTTTAATCCCTGCTAATAGTCTTTAATCAAAGTAATTTCTCATGCTTTTTTCCAAAATCAAGAAGCACTTTTCTGATGACAATTGGCATTATTTTAAGACAACCTGTCAAAATCATAAAATCAACTACAAAGATTCAATACACTTTGGAAAAAATCTTTGTGTTGCCTAATCTGTTGCCTATATGGTAATGGAAATAAATGGTAACCAAAACTGTTTGACCTGAGTGTAAGTAAAAGTCTTTTTTTGGTGACTTTTCCTTTAAATAACCTAAACAGCCAAGACTGTGGAAAATGAGAACCCTGAAACCCCACAGAAATCTTCATTCAGACCCACTGAACTGGATCTCTCTGTCAACTCTCCATCTCAAACAGTTTATGCTTCCCTGTCCTCACCTATTTGTTGACATTTCAGGCCATTCTGAAGCAAGACATCTGCATTAATGAGTATAGGGAGAAACACCTGTAAACTCAATCCATCTGCGGCAGCTCTGAAACTATAGAAACTCTGACCTCTGCATCACCCGCCCTTTGAATATGTTTTATTGGCATACGAGACAACTTAAGGCAAATAAGGGGCAACCGTTTTAAGAGAGAGGAAGCCCTGCAGCATTCAATAAGCCATTTAATCGAGTCGAAAGCAGACATCAATACAGGTAAAACCCAGCAGGACACTCAGCAGGAAAGCGGACTGGAGGAGTTGTAGTTTACATGAGGACTCAGTATGTGCCACACAGGGAACACACTCAACACCACAAATGGAACACAGCTGCATTTTATAAAGAAAGACCATAACATGTGGAAAAATAAACGTTTTTGTGACCTTTGGCTTGTTGAGCTTTTTTTTTTTAAATGTCATAAAGTGATGTCATATTTTGACTTGTTTAAAGTGAGGTATTTAGAAAAAAAGCAAGAAAAAATAATAAAGTGCAGACGTGTTTCAGTTTGTAGATGTGTTTGAAGAAAATCGGATCATCTTAGGTGACATAAATTAATTACGCAACACTTACCAGAACAAATCCAGTCTCTTGGTTTAGAAACTATAAATGTTAAGTGTTACTAATTAACATTTTTAAGTATTTTAATTTATATTCAAATGTCACTCAAGTCCTATTACTTTCCAGACAAACTCAATAAGTAGTTTGTGGCTTTGTAACAAACTGAAATTTTTAAAAAGGATCATAAGCATAACTCTAGGACAATTAGGCTGCTTCATTATTATATTTCATTATATTAAAAAACAAACATAAATAAATAAATAAATAAATAAATAAAGCCCCAACAACTTAAACATGCAAATTAAATAAAAACAAAATGTCATAGATGTTAAGTAATAATAAATGTGTTAATAACATTTTGACCTCCTGCAGTATTCAGACACTCAGACTGTAGTGAGACTTGTCTCAGTGTCTGTGTCATAAATCCCCATGTAGGTGGAGAACTGATTCTCCGCTTGGCCTGTTTTTTAGCCATGAGACTCAGCCGTCAATCAGTGTAAAAAGCTTCCCAATGGGGAATAAGGAGCACCCTCAGATTCAGAGCACTATGCCATAACTCTCTCTGTTTTCACAGCCACAATAACACGAGTTCTTGAGTGAGGGAAAAGTAGTGAGGAACATGTTATTTTAATTACTGTGGTGTTTACCACCTTATTCCAGTTCCCCAAGGAAAGCTCTATGCAGGCTTTGCAGTTCCTCGCTTTCGTTATTTTGATTGACATGACTTACCAGTGACATTGAATTTAAAAGGTTTAAGTTTCATCAAGTTTTTGTTTTTTTTTTTGCTTCAAATGTGTAAAAGCTGAGAGTCCATTGAATGTGCTTTGACACAAGGACCACCGTCTAAACATGTTATCAATATATTTTATTAATGCAATGCTCATGATTCCATCATAGTTTATTATAAATAAATATTTATGAGTCAAACATGAGTCAAACAAAAATATTTTACAACTGATGACATTTATATAAGTAGTTTTATATACATATAAAATAAATGCAAGAAAATATTTGATTCAAATTACTCAAGAAACTAAAATGACAAATTAAGGGAATTATTTTCCATTTATCATCAACATAAAATATGCATTTTAGGAAAAAATAAACAACATACTTATTCTGGTCTGTACTTATTAAAATATATAAAATAATAGGTGGTTATACTACTGTACATTGTATCATATTTAGCATGTTTAAAGATGTCCTGCTGACAAATGAGTAAGAGCCGGTGGTTTAAAGGATAGAAGCGACATGTAAAATCGGTACTGGATATTAATTTGTATTTTGAATAGATTCAGTTTTTAAAAGCAATAAATAGAGTCTTTTGATGTGACAAAAAAATTAAATTAAATGATAAGAACAACTAAACATATATCCAACCCATTTTTAATAAAAGAAAAGAGAAATGCATCATTAATATGATCTGCAACATATCAAGGATGCTTTAGAGTTAGTTGTTATTTAAATGACTTATCAAGTGTCTTTGCACAGTTATTCAGTGTAATGTTGAGGAAATCAGCTGCTTCATAAAACAAAAAACTTTCACTGTGACTTTATTCTGCTGCTGGTAAACCTTTGCTGTCACCATCTGTTGTTCACACCTTTGACAGCGCATCTCTGCTCTTTTTATCAGGGCCCTCTCCAGGCTGAAGAAGGGAACAACATTGCCACCTAGAGGGTGAACCAAGTAAGCATCCAGCATCTCAGGCCAGATTCCCACAGCCCCTGCCACTTCATGTATACTCACCAACACTTTGCCTCAGTAACCCGAGGCACATTTTTAAAGTAATTTCATCACAGCCCCACCCCCAGATAAAACACATTCAAATGCTGGAGTCACATCAGCAGCACCTCAAATCAGCAGCATCCCTGGACCGAGCGATTGCCCCTAGAGTTGGCTGAAGTGTACAGCAATTATGATGGTTCACTGAGCACTAACATTCAGAACTATATCTCCCCATGCAAGATCCAAAGGATCAGAGACCGGAATATAGCATGCATCCACAAGGGCATAAAGAGGAAAAAGAGGGAGGAAAACAAGGACATGAGTGGTTCAACTACACCATGTCAAATCTCTGTCCTTTTTGTTTGTTTGTTTGTTTGTTTCACATATAGCAATAAAACCAACGGTCGCTTTAACCAGTCATTGTTAAAACAAATGAAGCGGATTAAAAAACACACATCCTACCTGAATAGATGGGAGCCAGTCGAAATATATCTGAAAGCCGACTGTTCACAGGCTCATACGGAGAATCCTCAAGTAAATCATTCCCTGAAATATTAGCAAACAAAATGTGACTAAATAACAATAAATAAATGGTTACATAAGTCTATTATTAATGTCATTTTTAGATGCATTAAACAAAACAAAGTAATAAAGGCTTGAAACTGCAGCTTTACACAAACTAAAGATGTTAAAATTGGTATTCAGAATGATGCCTAAAAAGGACTATTTGGGGGTTTCTAAAAAAAAAAGCTGTTAATTCAAAAGACTCTTAACACTGTACAATGGAAAGGTTCCATAAATGTTAAAGTTCTTCATTGAGCCAACCATGCCATTAAAGAACCTTTATTTTTCACAGTGATGTTTGTTCGTATTTGGGTCACTGATTCATAAAGACTGGTTTACATTTCCGGAGCCAGTTTCTGGTTGATTAGTTATCCTGGTCAGTTGAGCTGGCAAAGTTCCTGCTCCCCCTCTAGCAGGCACATATACACTAACATAAAGCATCAGATGACCTCACACTCCATAAACTTTAATGGACACACTTCAGACAGGCATTTGAAGACTTTACAGTCACCCTATCTGATAGCACAAACCAAAAAAGCAACTCCTTGACTACTGATTTTGGTCGCCAAGTATTAAAAATAAACTGTCGAAAACTATGTTGTGAAGAAGCTGAATACTTCATATGTTTATATCATATGAGAAGGCAAGGCTGCGCACCCTGTAAATGCTGATAGATCCCCCAGTAGATGCGCAGGCAGTTCTTTTCCTTCTTCATCCCTCTTTTGCAGCGGCAGTTATACAAAGGACTCTGCTTTAAAGCGTCCAAGACAAGTCGACATTCATCCTTTGCCTCCATTCCAGTCACCATACTGAAGTTGGACTCCCTCCCCGCCACGCACTGCCTCATAGTTCGATACTTTGAGCTGCATCCCGGCTCCTTCAAACACAGCTCGTTCGCCTTCACACAGTCCAGCCGGTTAGAGCTAGAAAAGTAAGACTCCTCGGCAGATAACAGCACATCTATATAGGACAACAATGGAAATAATCATCAACTAGGCTACTCAAACTTACATAATAATAATAATAATAATAATAATAATAATAATAATAATAAAATAATAAAAGTTGTGGATTTTATTTTGCATGAACCAGGCTACTTAAATTACAAATATTGTTTAATGCATGGAAACATTTTGTGAGGTAAAATGGTGTTTTAGAGACTAAAATATTAACACAAGAAGATTAAGATTAAAGTAAAAACAAAGCTGATCCTCAATAACAAAACTGTGTCCTATTATGAGACATAACATTCTAGATCTATAACATTTCAGAATATACTGTTTTAGACTAGAATAAATGTGATGGGACCCGGTGGGATAAACACTTTTTAAATATTCTTTGAGTTTCAGTCTTCAGTGAACACAATGTGTAAATAACAACTCACCCAGCAGAGGTAAAAAGATGTAAATCGCGGCGATAAACATTGCGCTTTTATCCGTTGTAAGTTCGCTCAAACACGCGGTTTATTGTTATGACGATGAAAAGGATAATCCTTCCTCATTCAGGTCCATTGAAACATCGCTGGTCACAATGTAGGCTATATCCACGGCATAAAAGAGAGAGGGGAAATCCGTAATCTGGTCCAAAACTGTCACTAACCAATATTGAATGGCTTCTTGGATTAAGACAATTAACAAACAAGCAGAATTTGACTCGCAAGGCAGCAGGATAAAACTCCAGCTCTGAAGATGTGCCCGTGCGACTGTGCGCGCGCGACAGCACTGTGGCATTGAGTTGCGCTGTAACCCAAACCAAAAACCACACGAGACTCAGTGCGCGCTCAGCGCTTCTGCGTGTAACACAGCACAGGACAAAGACATCTTGTGTAGCCACTCCAAAACTTGGAATGTTTACTGCTATCTGTTACTGTTTAACTTGTATAGGGTGTCAGAAAAGCTTTTCTTATCAGTTGATATGTTTGTTTGCTTTATAAATTGCATTGCTGGTGGTGATTTCGTCTTTGTTTGCTGGGCTCTTTTGTATGTGTTAGGTGGACAGTCTTGTCTAATGGAAATGTATTAGTAGATAAGGCATTGTTGGACTGATATCGTACCTCCATAAGCACAAAAATCAACTAATCTAAATTATTCATGTTTTTAAAATTTGTCCCGTGACTTAGTTTAATATATTGTATTGTTTATATATATATATATATATATATATATATATATATATATATATATATATATATATATATATATATATATATATATATATATATATATATATATATGTTTATTTATTTATTTGTTTTTTTTTTTACTGTAGGTGACATGTTTAAAAAGTCCATAGGAAGTAGTTTCACAATTCTGCACCAAAGAAATGTTGTCCTGCTAAATATAGAGATATATTTTGCAGCTATTTAGGAAAGTGGAAGCCCTGTACTTGAGTTGCCAAAGGCTACAACATTTTTTTAAAGTTTATCCCAATAAAGTTTTGGTGCGATTTTGTTCATTGCCTACTGACTAAAGGCTGGTGGAGGTCGCCCTCTGTTGGTATATTAGTGTATTTTAAGGAATGACGAGACAAGCGGTCCTCAGCCTTTCTTGCTTTGGTTCATTTATTGTTCAATTTAGCATTAGATGGTTCTCCACACAGGCTGCGTTTTTATACAGTTTTGTACTGAAATAATAAAAATACAATATGTATTAGCTGAATTAAAACACGAATAAAGTTGGAAATAAAATAAAACCTTCAACATTTTATTTTTTTATGTAAATATCTTTTTTAATAAAATGAATTAAAGTTTCATTTAAATAAATAAGTATAAAAAAATCAGATTAAAAAAACTATATTAAACTACAAACACAAAAAAAAACTAATATTGAAATAACTGTAAACATTTCACATTTATCACAATTAAGGAAACATTGAACATTTGTAAGCCCTAACATCAAAATGGAGAAGAAATTTTTCTTCTTAAATGTAACAAATGTTTCAGATTCACTGACAATTATTGACATGAAAATGTAAAGTGTTTTGCCAATATGGTTGTCACCGTGGCACAGTGCGTATAGCAAGATCGCCTTACAGCAAAAAGATCGCTGGTTTGAGCTTCGGCTGGGTCAGATGGCATTTCTGTGTAAAGTTTGCATGTTCTCCTTGTGTTTGCGTGGGTTTACTCTGGTTCTCACCCACAGAAAAGACTGGATAAGTTACAACTATTACAACTGAAAAGGAAAGTAAAATCCTTAATAAATACCTCTGGCCTAATTTTACCATTATAGTCTATGTTAGTAAATTACAATAATTTTGTTTTCATAAAAAGGAACTTTATATGTTTTGTCACTGTCTAGTGTGAGACTAGTGTGTTAATTTTAAATTGGCATTTACACAGAAACTTTCATAAGTTGAAAGACCCCATTCAAGATCTTGCTTCTCGTGAAGACAGTAAACATTGTGTGTTTTTGTTTTATAATTTTTTTTTAATTATATAGACATTTTTAAAACCTATTAAATCAGACATTACCAAACGTGTCTTGCTAACTGCTAAAGCCAGGTTAAAAGCAAGCCCAAATGAGTCAAAACATTGAAACATACTTTAATGTGACAGATAAAGCCTATTTGTTACACTTTGTTATTGTTGTCCACATGTTTAATGAGTTAAACTACAGTTTCTGTCTTTAAATGTGACACAATGTCCTATAAAATGACAAAGAACAGCACATTTGTTTAAATCTTATTCCTTTAAAAAAAGTTGAGGATTGCAGTGTAATATATATTAACTACTCCTTTTAAAATGATTCATACTTTCAAGTAGTTTTGAAATGAAAACAGCAAAGTTTGTCTCATATTTTTTAAAATGTCCAACAAGTCTGACAAGTCATGGAAAAAAATAATATTCATAATTTAAATTTAAAAAAAATATCACTATGTCTAACGATAAAGAAATGAAGATCAATCTCTCTTGTGATATTTATTATTAAAAGGCTATTTTACACCAAAGGACATATTTACGGTAAACCAGAAGTAAGGTACAGGAGCTGTTACTGGTGCAGTACCTATTTAAAAGGTACGTATTTGTACCTAAAGGGTCCATAAAGGTACCTCAAAGGTACTTTTTAGGTACATTTGCGCACTAATATGCACCTTGAGGTTCCACTGTGGACTCTTTGGGTGTCTATCTTTTAAAAAGGTACTGCACCAGTGATAGCTCCTGTACCCTAATTTCTGAGAGTGTAAAGGTCAGTATTTTTTTAAATAGTGACGGAGTTGCTGAAGTTAGTGACCTCTTATATTTTCTTATAAAATCAGATTTTGAACAAATAAACACATCTATTTTCTTAAGTGATATTTTACAAAAAATAAATAAATAAATAAATAAATAAAATTACTGCCTATTTGTCAATTATCCAGATATATTTTGTTCAAAATAAATACATAACTCTCACTCTGAGACCACAAGGTCACAGGCTGGTGGATTATATTCTACTTATTCTGCCTTGGTAACCTGGGTAAACATAAATCCATTTCTCTAAATCAATTAAATGAGGTTTATTTTTATGCCTATATTTTAATAGGGATCAATTACTTTGATCCAATCGATTGACAGCCACTCAATCAAGAGCTCTGCATATTGTCTGCTTGAAATGCATTTCTCTATTAACCTGAGCTCATTTCATTCTAATAAACCTAAGTGGAGAACTGGGTTTGCACAAGCCATCATGACACGCAGGGTTCAAGATCATTTGAAATATTCCTCTCACCTCATCACTCTTTCTCTCTCAATAGGGAATTATCTGAATTGTAATAACTTAATCGATTTGTACCAGGCTTGGCTCCAGCTGTAAGATTTAAGGTGGGCTGGGCAGTGGGTGATGGCTGCATGGTTGCCTGGGTAGACCAAGGCCTGATTTGCACTGTATCATTTGATAAATAAAATGGCCAAACTTTTAGTCCCATCTCCGTGTGATGTAAGAGTTTAATTGGTGAAGACAAGTTTGAAAATCATAAAACAAAACATAAAAAAGCATTCAATCAATATTCACTTTGCAAATGAATGTCTAAATGATATCAATATAATCAGGATCATATAAACTGGATCACTGTAATGTGCTGCATGGCACCAGATCAAAACCATTCTTTCCAGCAGTGTTTGGAAAAGTGGATGAGGTAAAAAAAGTGACATGACAAATATTGAAAGACCAAACGGCACCAAAGTAAGGATATTGATTGCTGACTGTGCTTATAAACGCCAAACAATACAGAACTGACAGATTAAATTTAGCTTCAGAGTAGGCCAGTGATGAATGAAAATGTTACTGGGTTGAAAAGGACTCAGCCATCATGTGGGTATTTCTCACATGTAGTGCATCTGGATCATCAGTTCTTATGCAGGTAGACTACAAGGGTATTTATCATTGATATCCCTGCTGTAATCATGCTCTCAGCGGGTTAATGTCAGTGCAGCATCTGAGCAGTAATTAAAATAAAGTTACCGGACTCCAGTAAGTGTCCTTAAAAAAAGAAGAGCCTGACACATCCTGTAGTCTGGTTAACAGACAGCTACTGTTAACAAACAGTTAAAAATGTTACAAATAGGGCCTACATAATGTAATTTAGAAATGTATAATTCTAAACAAAGTACTACTTACACAGCCTACATTGCATCTTAATTTACCCTCAATTTAAGGTCTTATAAAAGATTATGGGCCTACATCATCTAAAAAAAGTCTACATGATAAAAATGACATTAAATGTTGCATGCAATGCAACAACAACAACAACAAATACAGTTTTTCCTCAGTGGCTTTGGTACATTTCTCACAACACATTTGCACAACAGTTCATGCAATTCTCAAAACAATTAGTCATTTGCACACATCATAGCAGTTTCTCATTCCTTGCAACAAATTGCAAATGCTTTTGGACATGCATCAATTGCTTTCACACAACTCTCTGCTGTTTATAACATTATTTTTAGCTTATGTCCTGTCAGTCAAAATTAACTAAACTTGTGAATGCGGAATAGTCATTACATATAAAACTAATAGTCCTTATGTCATTACTTGAGTCATCACATACAAAACTGTTGAAGTAGTTGTCAAAATTTGTCAAGCAAATTTTACAAACAATGTAGATATAGTTTTTCTTGATTGCTTTGATGCAGCCGTCAACTGAAATTCCACATTTTCAAAACAGTTAACACACAGGCCTAAACAGCGGCACTCATGGTCAGAATGACACATTTTGCTTGCAAAAGGCACATACCGTGTCAAAACATTTAAAATATGCAACAAAATCTAGTTTTACCTTTAAACAACACAACTTGCAAACAAGTATATGAGCTCTTTTAATGAATCATTACACAATGGACAACAAAATACAAAATACAGAACTCAGTGTGAATTAGGGCACCATTGCTTGCTATTGTAGCCTATTGGCAATGCCATTTGTTGTCTTTCTATTTAGGCTGTCAAATTTGACTTTTTGCAAAAAAATGGACCCAGAATAAGAAATGCTTTGATTAAATTTATATTGAATTCATTACATTTTTTTTTCAAACTGTGGCTGAAAACTGAAATACTGTAAAAAAAAAACAAAAAAAAAAAAAAAACAGACAAAAGCAATAAAATACTGTAAATATTAGAGACAACACATGTAAACCAATATATAGTCAAATCTATTGGAAGTATAGGGCATAGCCACTATTGACCTTCTCCATCCATGCAGGCACATATTCATACTGATATTGTCGTTTCTAATGGTTAGGAATAGAGGGTTTCTGTTTGGTTACCACCATATAGCTAAAACAATGGAGTTTGAACTGCTTGAATGACATCCGTGTTAACTGTTTTGAAAAATGGTGGGGAAAATGTGTCAACTCCAATGAGAAAGGGTTTACACAATTGCAAGGCCTGTCTTCTGCTCTGCTGGGATAGTGATAATGAAAATGAAGTGGAACTTAGTTTCTTTTACCAGGTCAAAGCAAACAAGAAAAACTGTAAAATCTTTTTGCACTGTTGCTGCAATATTGTTTACATTTGTGCACAGCTCAACCCACAGAAAGTTTATGTTTGTTATAAATAAGGGTGAATTTATTCCTTTGCACAATGCTGTGAATACACTTGTACTCAGATACATCTCTAAATGCATTGTTGTCTGACTACTGTAGTTTTTGAATGGCTGTGCAAATAGTATATGGTGCTGTCTTGAGCATTTTTAGGAAGTGTCACCAAAATCTGACTTTTTTTTTTTTTTTGCATTGAAAAAAAAAATGTACAGAGTAAACTGACATAATTAAACATAATGATCTTGTTCATAAACAATGGTGTCAGGACTTTTCATCTTGAGAAAATCTGTAACAGCAACATATTTTCCCCAAATAGAATTATTTTAGCCTATTTTCATTGTAATTTTATTTTTATTTTTTATAGCATATATTTGGTTGTTCCCACAATTAAAAAGTAAAACATTGGAAGAAACGTACTTTACGGAGCATGTTATTTGTGTTCCTATTTTAAATTCTTGACCTTCATAAAACATGCAGAAACCAGATAGATAGATAGATAGATAGATAGATAGATAGATAGATAGATAGATAGATAGATAGATAGATAGATAGATAGATAGATAGATAGATAGATAGATAGATAGATAGATAGATAGATAGATAGATAGATAGATAGATAGATAGATAGATAGATGCTCGTTCATTTTCCTTGGTGAACGAGGATGCCCATTTGCGCATGCGCAAGAGGAAATGATCGCATTAGTTTTGTACATGATACATGCGTAGCGTCTCAATCGCCTGGCGTCTTGTTTTGAAACGTTTACCTCGCGAAAACCGTACCGAAAATCTTCTGACCTTCTGCTTATATAAGGCCTATATTTGAACAGATTTAAAATGAGTCTGGATTCCCTTTTTGAGCAAATTTTATTGACAGAGCAGCAGGTGTCTGAAAACACCAAGCAGCTTCACGAAGGTAACTAAAGCTGGCCTCAGCGGGTGGGTTAACGTTAGCCAACTTAACGGAATTTTAATTTTAAACGTGAATTTACTCAGGTACACGAAATAAGTTTGTTAGACAAACATTTCTTTAAATAATTAACAGATAATATGTATTTTTTTTATTCAGTTAAAGCTGCCATTAAGAGCGCACAGGACAAAATAAGCTCCTCAAGCGAACAACTGGAGAAAGCTCGTCTTGAACTGGATGAAAAGGTAACCTTATGCTAATACATTACTCTTATTATTCATTCATACGTTTTACCCATTCAGCTGCAACCCATCCCTGGGAAACATCCATACACCCTCATACACTACTGACAATTGCCTGCTGCCTATAGAAAATATTAATTTCCTTCTTGTTTTAAGTGTTATGTAAATGTATAGACCCACCTCAGATAGAAATATTACTGCACAGCAGAAGATATGCCCTGTCACTCATCTTAAAAGTTTATCTTTGCAGAAAGCTGATATGCAGTATTAATATCCTTTTGGCGCTGTGAAAAGGCATTCTGTTTCATGATTAAAACACTTCATCTAATGGACAGGATACATTAAAATGGAGTGGATCAATTCAAAGCGGCACTGCAAAATCAATCTCGTTTCTTTCAGATTACATTAGTATTATTGTTGAAAAACCTTTAAAAATATCATTAACCTTGCAAACATATGGCATACAGTTTGCTTGATACCAGTGACATACATGCCAAGTCAATGAGTAATTGCATCATTTAGTTAAGAAGTCATTTCATGAATACAGGGGTCAATGGAAAGGCGGTCTATAGGATTTTGAATGCAGATGACTCCAGATGTCATCATTTACTTAAAACAATCACCAAGTATTGAAAATTCATATTATCAAATTAATATTTTCTAAAGCAATTTTTCTATTCATTTATTTTGCTCGTGGCAAGTTAGAACATTTAGTACAGACTTCCTGAATGACCTTTGTGATTCACCTGTGGAAATGAATGTCATGAAAGACGTGTCTAATTTTCTGCATAATATGTTTGGTCAGATCAACGTGTCCCATATAATTATGAGACATAATTTGCTTGCATTCTTTGAAGCCAGGTAGAGAGTAATTACTTAAAGGATCCTTGATGTCTTTCACACTTGACTGAGCTGGTAAAAGGGGAGAAGCAAAGACTTGAATTCAGAAGGCATTTTATGTTATGTTATGCCAATTACAGAGTGACCTACAAACAAAATGACATAAGCTTACCTTCACAAACAGCATTGGAGCCACTGATCCGTCAGATAAGCAACATTCTGTGTTGCCGCAAAGCCTTTGTTCAGCCAGTCAGAAAATAACATTGCTGTGAATGTAAAGTTTATCCAGGAGACCCTTTTGCAGAACATCTGAATGAGACACTCCTCAAATTCATGATTCGTTTGTGACCACAGGCTCAGCTGCTTTCTGAAGCCAGTCTGCAAGTTGATTTGATGACAAAACAACGAGATCAACTGGAAAAACAGAAAGAGGAGCTCTTGGGCTTGCAGACGGAACTCAAAGACAATCTGGTATACATAAACGCATTGCATATTGTTGGAGTTAATTGCCTCTCAGTCAAACACCCTGTTAAAACACAACAAAGATAAGTTTGAAAAGGCTGCATGATATTGGAAAATCTGACATTGCGATATTTAGTTTTCTGTTAAATATATATATTGTGATATAAATAAAAATGGACTAGACAACTTGAAAAGCGCCATTTGGAAAGATTGAATTAATTATTGGGGTGATTTTGTAGGGGAGTGAATCATGCTTAAAATATTCTATAATAAAGAAATTGCAAGCAGAAATAAAAACAATGGAGCTAAGATAAAAGTGAGTATACAGTGCTTAATGGTTTTCTGGGGGAGTCTAACAGTATTTAGCTACATAAACTGAATAAATGTAAAATAGTTGCATTTCATAAATAATGAAATAAAACAAATTAAAGTAATTAAAGTTACAAAAAGTACATATTCTTGTGCCTGAATACTTTTAACTCTTTGACATGCTCCCACAGTCACAGGTAGGGCTGGGCAATTAATCGAAATCGGCATTCAGAACCTACAATCCAACTTTTTTTTTCTAGGTTGATTTTTTTTTTAATTACTTTCCCTACAATGTATGTGGTCGTGACCTCACTCTGCCACACTTTGCAGCCACATCTGATCTCTCAAGTAGGACGATAGACCCATTCTTGAGTCTTACAGTACTTTGCACTACATTAACGATGATTGAAAGCTGTGCCATTTTCAATTACATTAAAATTCAAATAATTGTTCTTTTATTTAGAAGAGATACTGTTTTCTACTTTTAATATGAAAAACATTGAAAATAATTAATTTTGTTTCCAAACATGGAAGTTATTTTTTTTTCACTTTTTTTAATAAGGAAAAAAAAGTGACTATTGGTTTTAGGCAATGTAGGTTTTATTTTAGTTGTTCAATTTTGATGTTCAGTAAATAATCATAGGTACAGGTAGTACAGTGGAGATTGTGTGTTTCCTTCAACTATTTTAAAATAAAGTAATGCACCCTTGATTAAAAAATCTCTTGCAAATTTACTGTACAAAACATGTCAGTAATCTATAAGGGCAAATAAATAAATAAAATAATCGTTCATTAATCGTAATCGAGTTAAAATGTTCAATTAGTTGAGATTTTGATTTAAGGCTAAATTGTCCAGCCCTAGTCACAGGCCTTTAAAACACATGCAAAAGATAAACTTCATAATGGTTTAAGTCTGCAGTGGCTCAACTGTACAAATCTCATGTGTTCTGATATGTGACTATAAAATATAATATAAACCAAAATATAAACACAACTTTGTACATCCTGCGATATGATGATTTCAGATGTGCAAACTGCTATATCAATGCTGGAATTACATATTGTGCAGTCCTACTTTGAAACAACATTGGCATAATTACTGTATGAAACTAGCCACCACTGCTGTGACTAATAAGGTATTGACTGATAAAGAAAGATGTCGCTGCCTGGTGTTTTCAGAGTTAGCATTATGACTGCAGCACACATCCTGAAGTGGAAACTTGGGGTTTGATATTTAAATACATAATAGTCTTTCTATTGTTTTACAATTCAGGACAAACTGAAAAGAGAAACCTGTGATGAAAGGGAGAAATTCTTGAAGGAGATGATAACTTTCAACAGCGAATTCAACCTTGTCAGCAACAGAAATGCTGTGCTTCACTCTCAAACACGGTCTAAGATTCAGAGTTTGGAGCTGGAAGCTGAAGCTCTACACAAAGGTAAGTGTTTTATTGTGGAATATCTGAATTAAAAAAATATATATATTTAGTATCAGTGCATTGAAAGCAGTCTACTGTAAATGCATAAGCAAAATCTGATTGTCTTAATTGCTGGGAATAGATTACATGTAAATACAAGTCTGCAGTCAATACTTAACTAGGTGACATTAATTAGAATAAAAATACAGTAAAAAAACTATGCAAAATATAACAAATATATTCCAAAAATATGGAACACAAGCAATTCTCAAACAATAATAAAAGTGTATTATTTACAGCGTATTTTGGTGGAAGCTGTTGTAGATTTATTGTGTTTTCCTTTCTTTATCAGGCTTATTATTTCTATAAAATAAGACTGAATAATATGGCTGGTATGATATTTTAAAACTGTAGTTTATGTCTTGGCCCTGTATCTAAAAGGTTCTGTGAAATTAAAATAAAGTTTTTGTTACATGCTAGTATCAGTATATCTTTAGGTTACCAATTATATGGTGTTTTCCAAAACAGTGACAAAATCAGAATCAGAAGATATAAACATTCAAAGCTTGCATTTTAGCACTTCCGCCTACATAAAGTATATTCATCAACTTTTTTTTTTAAACATCACCTAATACTGTACTTTGATTTCAAATCTAATCTTCTAACCAATCAAATGTTCTCCAGTATATAACATGTCCCACCCCTTCAAGATGCGTTTGCTTGTTATCTGATCTTAACCACTCCAGAGATGTGATTGAAGCTGTGATAAAATCCAACACTATTGGCAGATTTTTTAAAAATGGGCTACCATATGTTCTCTCTCACTTCATGCTTCAGCTGAGGTTACATCAAACAGCAAATAGAAAAAATTGCACAATTTAAAGCACATTACAGGACCTTCACATTTTTTAATTGGTCTGGTCTTGCTATTTTTTTGGAAAAAAAAATAAATAAATAAAATAAATAAATATATATATATATATATATATATATATATATATATATATATATATATATATATATATATATATATATATATATATATATATATATATTGCAAACCACCATATATAAAACAATGTTAAATTAATAATCATTTAGCACGTGCCATTTATTACACTTTTTGTACCAACAGTTCTATTAACAAGCAGCAAAGGACTACCAAGCTTTTGTAAACGCCTGAAAATGCAGTGCTGCTGCTTAGTTTTTCATGAAAAACTGCTTTATTATTTTAAAAGGGATCCACAAAGTTGTCTCTGAGGTAGTGATCCTTCTTCAAAGGATTGTTTGTTGTAGCTCTAACTGCCGGCTTGCTGGCTACTTAAGTTGTCACCTTTGTTTTTTTTGCAGAGTTAAACTTAATGAAGGAAAAGCACACTTTGTGGAGCTCCATGGAGGCAGAGAAGAGATCACTAGAAGCTGAGCTTGAGGATATAAAATCACAGCTTACCGGTAAAACAAGCCTCTGTTCACTTTAGAACAATATCTGCCATAGTTTAGAAGTATGCTTGTGTCAAAAATGTCTCTCACTCTTTAATTTTTTTCTGTTCTTTTGCAGATACAGAGCGAGATCTGAGGGAAGCAGTGGTTTTGACAGAGAATTTGAAAGCAGAGAGGCACCTGGTCCGTCAGAAACCCTTGACAGATAGCACCTGTATAAGGCAAGAAATTAATAACATACTCAATAAATATTTGCTGTCTGTTTAAACTACTTATTTAAAATGAGCTGAAACAATACAATTCTTGAGGGTTTTTTTTGCAATAACCTATTTGCTTTATGTTCAGTCCACTTAAATTTGTAAAAACTTATAAGTAAACTTAATTCCTTTATGTTGTCCCAACATAAATCTTATTTTGAACTTGGCATTTATTTTACAGTGTATCTAAACGTGTCTTAATTTACCCAGATAACCATGATCCAAAATGAGCTCCAGCAAAGAGTGCTGAATTTTCCTCCATCCATCTCTCGGTCTTCCTCTTCCTGTCACTTCACCATGTGTAAATAATGCAGCATTAGGTCCATCTTATTAATTAGGTCTTTGATATGTTGCTTACTATGTCCGGTCCAGAATTAGATAAACCCAGCCCCTCCAGATCAGCACCTCACTGTAGGAAGTGATGATGGAAAGGGGATCGATGGCTATCCTGTGTCAGGGAGAAAGCTTCTCCACAGGGATGTGTAAATCATACGTGGAGGCAGCGTGTGTGGAGTGTAGCACAAATCTTCCTCATTAAAAGGACAGATTGTATAAGGCCACACAATTTGCTGAGGACGAGGCTTTTGGGACAGCACTGCTAAGCTCAGGATGTGTTTATTCCTTTCTTATGTAGTCATGAATCACTCTTAAACACCATCATGCATAGGCTGTTTTTTCCCTGTATTGATCATCTGACAATGAACAAATGTCAGTTGAAATTAACATTGTGAGTTTAAGTGGACGTTACGAGAAACCTTACTCCACCATAGAGTAAACTGATATATGGCCTTATATAAGCAAACACATATACACACACACAATACAGTATTTGTCATCATATAATTCATGCTATGCATTTTTCATGATTGGCAGCTGCCCAAGAAATTGTTATTGAGCATTTTTTGTGTCTTTAATGTTCTTATAACATGTAAACTTGAATGATAGTACAAGATCAAATCATTTTTAATTTAAATTTAGATCAATGGACACTTAACATTGCACAGCACCCCACATTAAGTGTGATATAAAACAAAGCTAATAAAACTGTAAAATATGATTTTAATAGTGAAGCATGTAATTGATAACTTGTATAATTAGAGTTTAAAGATGAATATTGGCTAATCATCTTTCTTGCATGTGTGTTTGTTTAATTTAGACTCAAGAAAGAGCTGGAGTTCTATAAAGAAGATGAGCTTGAGCTTCTGCGAGAGACCCTCAGCTCTGAAATCCGCTCCCTGCGACAGGTAACTTCACTGTCTAAATAATGAAAGAAAAAGGTGGGTTTTTTCAGAGGAAGTTCTGTAATCTCTTTAAAGTTATTTTACGGGGGAAGGATTTTAAGAGCTCTAATCTGAGAATGAAAAAATATTGAAATAAATACAGAACATGACTTTGGCTCCGTCTGAAATTGCCTCCTACTTAGTAGGTACTAGGTACTGCATTTCAATTTGAATTTACTACTCGACCGTTAGAAAAGTACCTTCTCTTGCTGCATGGAGGGCACCATAGCGACCAGTGTCTTCTGGTAGAATGCTAAGAACTTCCGTTTATAGCATTTACAACTTTGATTTTGATGAATTTTGATTTTGAAAAATGTGTGATTAAAGCCGTTATACTTCTGTCAGATGCAGTTCAAGCGCAAGAGAAAAACTAATTCAGTGTCTGCTGTCACGTCAGGTGCTGAAATACAGCATCAGTGCTCCCGACCTGTCAGCTGTTATACTGTACTCCACGGCTCTTTAATGCACACACACACACACACACACACACACACACACAAACAATACCTCACTGCATTATAAAGAGCAAACAATATTACTGGCATGAAACTAGCAGATATGTAAGCCATGCAATTTCCAAAAATTACCAATAAAACCCCGTTACTGATACTATGCTGGATGATTTGCATGTTGATTCTAATCGGGAGCTGTTTATGTTTAATTTAGTTAATTTGTGTTGTGTAGTATTACCACGCTATGTGTTTTTCTGTCACAAAACACCACTTTATTTTCACTTTGTAACCGTCTTTCAATTCATAAGTTAGTGGGACAGTGCAGGCTATGTGTGTATGTCTGGTTTCTGGTGAATTACATTTATTTATGTTGGTTATATGTTTGAAAATAAAGGAAAATTATTACTTTTGCGATGACGAGGCTTTATTTAAACTGCACAAGGGAAAATGCCTTGCAGCAGTTGTTTTTCATCCTATTAGATCACATTTTTGACAGGGGTGTCAAAACTCGGTCCTGGAGGGCCGGTGTCCTACATATTTTAGTTCAAACCCCAATTAATCTCACCTGAACCAGTTAATGAAGCTCTTTCTAGGTATACTTGAAACTTCCAGGCAGGTGAGTTGGAGGAAGTTGGAGCTAAACTATGCAGGACACGGCCCTCCAGGGCAGATTTTGGACACCACTAGTCTAGGAGGTGGTGCTGATCTACTGCAGTATTATTTCATATACGTTAAAAGCAAATTAAATGTATTAAAAATATCGTTTTAAAGCTGTCCAAATGTGACTGTTTATACGCATCAGCTGCCGAACGGAAGTTCTTAACATTCTCTTTGCACATACAAGCAAAGCGTAATGCGTAATTTTGCATTCTAAGAAAAAGGGTATACAGTATGAATGTGAGTTGTATGAATAGGACTACATCCACCATTTTGTCATGATTACGTGACCTACCCGTGTCAGTTGTGTTGCTTCAGTCTTATTAATGATTTCTCTCGTGGTGCTTCATGGGATAGCGTAGTGTCCATTGGATGCCCACTTCAGAATCTCACCAGAGGTAGTAGATAGGCCCACACAAAATCTGCACACGCAGATTTCTGCAGATATTTAACCCATCATTGAGTCTATTTATTTATTTGTGTAAATATTTGTAAATTTATATTTATTCAGCTTTTTTATTAATTTCAGTAATAATATTGACATATGAATTCCATATGATTTATTCACAATACAGTTTGTCGATATTTTCTGTCTTTTAGTGGATCTATTATATTAGAAACTTGCTTTGTTTATAAAATAAGTAGATCTAATTAGATTTGCATTGTAAACATTAAATAAGAGTTAAAAAAGGTATTATTTTATATTTTATATAATAAGCTTTTAGTTACGATACTCCCAAAATCATTCCACATAAATCCACAGATTTTTTACAAAATTCTCCACAGAAATGGCAAAAAATGTCATCACATTCTGTCTGGCCCTAGTAGTAGTTCATCCGTGTATTCTTCTTGCATACTGTTTTTTGAATTCTATGAATTCAGGCATTATACTCGGCTTGCATACTGTTTTTAACGTACTAAATAGTGTGGAGGTGGGGCAGTGGGTAGTGCTGTTGCTTTGCTGCAAGAAGGTCGCTGGTTCGAGCCTCGGCTGGGTCAGTTGACATTTCTGTACGGAGTTTGCATGTTCTTCCCGAGTTAGTGTGGGTTTTCTCCGGGTGCTCTGGTTTCCCCCGCAAGTCCAAAGACATGTGCTATAGGTAGGGCCACACTGAATCTGCACGCGCAGAATTCCGCAGATTTTTAGCCCATCATTAATTCAGTTTATTTACTTGAGTAAATGTGTGCAATATCTATATTCATTCACTTTTTTAAATGAACTACAGTAATATTATTGACTAATATGAAAATGTTCATCTGATTTATGTAGAATATAGGTTGTAAAGTGATATTTTCTGTCTTTTAGTAGATATATTATATGAGAGACTTGCTTTGTTTACCAAATAAAGTGAATCTAATTGGATTTGCATTTTAAGCAATAAATAAAAGTTAAAAAGATTTTTTTTTCTCCACATATTAAGGATTATGGTTATGATACTCCCAAAATAATTCCGCAGAAATCTGCAGATTTTTACCAAAAATCTCCACAGAAACAGCAAAAAACATCCGCAGAATCTGTCTGGCCCTAGCTATAGGTAAGTTGGGTAAGCTAAATTGTCCTTAGTGTATGAGTATGTATGGGTGTTTCCCAGTGATGGGTTGCAGCTGAAAGGGCATCTGCTGCGTAAAACATGTGCTGGATAAGTTGGCGGTTTATTTCACTGTGGCAACCCCTGATTAATGAAGAGACTAAGTAAAAAGAAAATGAATGAATATATGAATATATAGTATAGAAGTTTGCGATTTCAGATGCAGCCTTTGTCTTTAACTGTAGCTTTATAAATGTATAAATATCTGAATTTAAAGTATACTGTAGAGAATCATTTTGGTTTACTAAAACATGAAGACAAATGTATGCGCTCAGCATTACAAAATAAAAAAAAATACTGTTATTTGATACCCTACATTATGTAGGTAATAAATATGAAACATAAATCAACACAGTCTTACCCTGGAGTATAAATCTAGTGCTCTTTACAACCAGAGACTCTGCAATTTTGTTGCAGCTAGATTTGTATGGTAAAAGATAACGACACCTTGACAGTTCCAAAAGGGTGGATGCGTCAACATGTCTGGAACAGTGAAATGTGGCATCTATAAATATATCTTTTAATGTAACTGT